GCTGCTGCCTGCCCCCACTCCTTTTTATAGTAGTTTCCCTTCATTGGGATCAGTGAGTTTCGTACCCTCATGCTACAATCAATTGCTGTTTAACGAGTGCTTGTTTTAAGTTGTTCTTCTCATCCCTTATCTGTTGTTTCCTCATGCTAGTTTTGATCACAACTATCTTGTCCCAACTGATAGGTGTTTGCATCTTCTTTGAGAGCTGTGGTTTCTAACCAGTTCTGAAGCAGTAGCCACTATAGCTAACTAGCCACACTGACAGCCAAATAGCCGTATGTAACTACTGGCTAGAGTGTTGGACACCATGGTTGTAGAGTCATGAATCTGCCCTTCATCTGCATCTCAAGAGGGGTATACAGACATCTCCTGGACCTTTTACATCTGTTCTCGGCTTCTCCCTAGAACATCTGGTCCGGTGATGGCCTTCACACTTATCTTCTAACACACACATTCCTCATTCTCACACACACACAACAGGGTTGATTTCTTTGTTACACAGACACAATATGAATATTTAAGCAGGAACATCAACTTATAATTTAAGGCAAACAATCATCATATCCCTTTTACTTATTTCACAATACTCATTCTAAAACTTAAAACTGTAAAAATCTATTCCTGCCTTGGAATCAGCTTCAGATACAAAATTCTGGCTGGTGCACCTTTACCAATGGTAAGGTAAGGTCCTTTCTGCTTTCAGAAAGGATGGCTGGCAGGATACACGGAGGCACTTTATATTACATAAAGCTACATTTTAGCTACATAACTACAGACTGAGATTTTCAGATCTTTTAGACTAAGGAGGGACAAATCTACTACATACCTAGAAGAGATTTCTTTAAAGAAAAGTTCAGGAGCTGGAGGAACTAGCCATTTTCCCTATGACTCAGTGGCCAGCCAGCAAGACATAAGGTGGTATTTTTTAGGTGTAATTGCCATTTTTCTAAAGAAATATAAAATTTTTGTCCTGACTCTGAGGTCCCTGCAATCAAATACAAGTAAGCAAAATGTAGAATTTCAATACTTTTGTTAATGCAATCTTCTGTTTGTTTCCAGCGAGCACTTGATCAAAAGTATGGCAGACAAGATGACAGAAGATGGATGGAAGGAGCTGGGTTATGAATATGTGAACCTTGATGATTGCTGGTCTGCAAAGGAAAGGGATTCACAGGGTAGGCTTCAGCCAGACCCAGACAGGTTTCCAAGTGGTATTAAAGCCCTTGCTGATTATGTAAGTTAAGTAAAATACATGTACTTACATACTACTTTCTCACTATGCTATCTCATGTGTAGGTGTTAAAAATAGAATTTTCTTGTGAACATAGTTATTTAAATAAACTAATTAGAAAAAATATGCATAATATACTGCAGAACTCAGTTAAATGTCAACTAAAACGTCAACCTATTTGTCTGAAAAAATGACAGGGAATGGCTTAATTATAATATGTATAAATGATTGTTTACATATCTCTAAGGGAAATACATACTGGATTTTCATTGCGCCTGCACAGATAGATGACGATCAGTGGACACTTAGGGTTAATCAGCATTATTCCTTGCTCCTCAGTGCCTAACACCCTTTGATCCCCACCTCTCCGCCTTGTGCCCTTTGACCCCACCCTTGCACTCTCCAGAGCCAGGCTGCCTCCTCTAGGGAATGTGGCTGTTACTGCCGCACAGGCAGGGGGAACAGCTGTTGGTGGCGCGCACGCTCTCTCCTCCTTCACTCCCCCATGGGTAGGGGTGGGGAGAGCCCTCACCTGGTAAGAAGGAGGGGGGGGGGAAGCGCCTCCTGCCCCTGCCCCCACCACCAGCCAAAACTGGCCGCATGGGCAGGGGGAGCATTCGTTGGTGGCACGCGCACTCCCTCCTCCTTTGCACGCCCACCTTCCCCAAGTGTCTTGCACCCCCACGAGTAGAGCCGAGGAGGAGAGTGTGGAGCTCCGGCCAGGCCACCATCTTACCTGGGTGGGAGGGGAAAAGAGGGAGGGAGGCACCTCCTGCTCCTCCTCCTACCCCAGCCCCAGCCCCAGCC